CATGGCACGAAGCACGGGGCAGCAGTGGTGGCTGTGGCACGAGGCGCAGGGTGGAGCTGGAGCTGCCACGTGCCCAGGGCCAGGTGACGCAAAAAAGGAGGCCTGTGGGCTGGACCTGGCCCAGGCCATGAGGTGGCTTTGGCAGCCCCACTTGGCCACCCTAAGGCCATTCCTCATCTGTCCACCAGTCCAGTGCCCTGAACCCTCACCTGCCCCTGCTTAACAGCAGATTTAAATAACCACGTGGGGAGGCTGCCCTCAGAAAACCAGTGTGGTCTGAGCTGCTTCACTCTGCCCTAGACCCCGTCAGGGCAGCTTGGTCTGGCCCAGTCTTTTAGCTCTCCTCCACAAGTAGGGGATCGCTCCCTGTAATTGTCCCCAGTCAACTCGCACTTGGACCACAGCCAGGCTCTCCGTCCTGCCCCGGTTACCAGTCCTTCTGCAGTGCTCCCTCTTTAGCCCCTAGTTAACAGTCCTGCTCCAGGGCTTTTTCTTCCCAGCCCCTGTCGGGAGTCCCCAGCTAGGGCTCCTCTCACTGCCCATGCACTCCGCTCTCCCTTGGGGCTGAGGTCTCAGCCCTGAGTCGCTCTCCCTCGAGTCTGCAGTCAGCACCGTACCGAGGCCCGGGAGAACTTTTAGCATTGGGCCTCCCTTTGCCAGAGACAATGCTAATAATAATTGGATGAAAGGAAGAAAGAAAACTACCATTCTTGGGCCTCCTTTCTGTCGCGGCCCCAGGCGACCGCCAAGTGCACCCATGCCCGTGTCCAGGTCTGCCTGCAGTGGTTTCACAGGACTACGACCCTCTGCAAACAGATGATTAGCAGTGCCCACCCCAGGGCTGCCCAGTGGACCCCACGCTCCATTTCTAGCCACCCCGTGCCTCAGAGATGACACAAACTCAAAGAGGAGCACAACCAACCCATCTCTGCAGAGCTCCTTCTTCCCTAAGGATGTGGCACACAATGCCCGCTCCAGCCCAGGAGTCAGCCTCGTATAACCCTGGGCCCCGCTTCCAGTCTCCCCACCTCTGATGCACAGAACTGGGCACAACGGTTCCTCTTTATTAATAAGCAGGCTGATTGCTTTGGAGCCCCCTCTCTGCCGGCTGCCTCTGTGCAGGCGGGCCTTCCACGCCTGCGCCCAGCC